GGTTGATGATGTCATGCAGGGTATGGGTGCTCTTCATATCACGGCACATCCATGATGCCAGGAATCAGCCGGCTCCTTCGTATTGCCCTGGAGATGCCACCAAACAATAACATCTATATCTCAGGAAAAGGAATGATATGAGTAAGCATATCTGACAAAAGCATGTATTCTAAGCTTTTGAATTGTAAAAAGTTCAAAAAGATAGTTGACTTTAATTTTCATGCGTACAGACATTGTTAGCTTTGTGGCATCGGACATTACCTGGTTAAAAAAAAATACAGACAACACTGTATGCCAACTCCAATATTATTTCTACCAGGTTTCGTTTTTATCACAAGGGCGAATGTACAGAAAAAAGATTTTCCATACCTCAGGCTGCTGTAGAAGAAAATCATTTCATCCCGCTGTGAATAATGGTGACCACAATCATTCTTGAACTAGTTGGCAGAACATTTTATTTTGACACAAGGTTGTATTCCAAACTAGCAAACCTGAAGCTGAATAATAAAACACACCAACTAGGCGCTATTCATGCATTATTATGTGCTAGGCATTGAACCGTAGCTAAGTGTGGCCCATTGTTGGCCAGATATTTGCAGGAAACACAAACAATCCCAAATCTACTGGTGATAATAGGGTTGGGCAGCAAGCAAGCAATAAGCCTGCCCATGGGCTCAAGTAACTCGTAAGCTCACCTTAGATTTCCATGACCTCCTAAGTACACCGCTCCAATCCTTCCTGAGTGTGGCATTCAGCCACTTAGAGCCTTAGATCCGGGTGGACAAATTAATATGGAATTCAGGAGCCAGTGTGCCCAATCCAAGAGCCAGCAGGATAATATCAGGAGCCAGCACCATGGACAACAAGTAGGGCCCATTCACACCAATTGCGGTGCATTCCAGAGTGGCAGCTGCTGGAACGCACAGCAATTGCTCACTAAACTTCCCCTTTCGTTCTGGGACGGGGCGGTGCATTGAAGCCAATGGCACCCCAAGCGCGTTGCACGTTTTTGACACACTGCGTAAATGTATGCCAATGTGCATGCTTTGGTGCGTGTTCACTCAACACGAAAGTGAGGATGGGGACATAGAGCCCATTCACACATACTGCGGTGACCTACATTTTATCATAACAGATCAATGCTGGTCACTGCAAGGACACACATAGGGGAACTTTTAAAAACTGGAGCAGACAAAATCTGGAGCAGCTGTGTATGGAAACCAATCAGCTTCTATCTTTCATTTTCAAATCTTAAGGCCTCATTTCACACTGCTAAGAGTCAGCCCGTACAGATCCGTGCGGCGTTCACGCCGTATGGGGCCATTGCCGGGAAGGACAGGTGCTGCATGTGATTGTAGACAGCAGCCTGTTCTTCTCTATGGGAGGACGCGGCCGTTCGCTCACCCAAGCTGCACATCCGTGCGGGTGTCCACAGAGCAGATTTTGTCTGCTCCAGTTTTGATTTTGTCTGCTCCAGTTTTGATCAAACCCCCCCCCCCCAGAGTGTCCCATTCACACAATGCACAATGAATGGCTGGTGCACTGCAATAAAATGCAAACATGCTGCATTTTATCAGAACACACTGGATGCCACCACAGATCACCACATCTCGCTGCTGTGCAGGGATATGAATGTAGTGTGCACTCCACATAAAGTAAAAAACAAACAAACTGTGAAAGCTCCAGCAGTGTGCGACACAACGTACACTGCCAGAGCTGTCTAGCTGCCTAGCCTATCCGCTAAAATGCAATTTTAAACGGGCCCTTAGGCTTCATGCACACTTGCCACTTGCGTTTTTGTCCTCTATATACTGAGAAAAATGTGTCAGGCTAGATGCTGTGTTTATGCTTCTAGATGCATGTGTGTTTACATGCGTTTACATGCATCTGGTACCAAATCCTAGCATCAAATGTATTAACATGCGTTTACACATGTTTACATACATTTTGGTTCATTTAGAATATCAGATTGATTCCTAGATGCACCTGGCTTCTATTATTTTGAAAACACAGGTAAACTGACTGCAGATAAAAGCATCCGAACGCTGTGTGTAAATAGATCCTTTGGAAATCATTAGGTGCCTATATATGCGGATCTAAATGCACCTAGTGTGAATGTAGCCTAAAGGGTTGGATGCCACTAGCGGTTATAAAACTGGCACAGCTAAAACAGCAACCAGCGGACATTAAAACATGTGCAGGGTAGTGTGCAATGTGTAGTGGCAGTGAGGGGCAATGTGATGTTAGAGTGCATTGAACATTTTTTTTTTTTACTTTATTTGAAGTGTCACAAAATGACAACAAGTCGTCACGCAGCAGAGCATTTTGACGTGTTGATGTGGTTTGCCACACATTTTAATACGCTGGGCTACAATAAAATGATGCCCGTGTCATTTTATCGTAGTGCACATCATCGCAGCACGTTGGTGTGAACAGGCCCTATACGTTCTACCCCATTGCTTTGTGCCTCTACTGGACAACACGACCCAACAAGTCTGGTGTGAACCAGCCAGCAGCCGAATGTCCTTGGAAAAGAACAAAGAAAATGCTGCCAAATGCAAATATATATTGTTTTTCTACAACCTTGAAAAAGAAGATGTAGAACAACAGCGGTGAAGAGAAAGGGAAGTCACATTTCTTAAGAAACATGAATAGGTTTCCTTCTGACAAATCGACCCCTACACGTTTTATTTTCATTTTTCCACAGAACTTACAGAACTAGTTGGACGCCGATATATTTTTATCTGCTCTTACACAGTTAATTGGTTTTGAAATATCAATATTACTGAGCTGCCTTTTGTGCAAGTTCACCAGAAGGTGAGCCAATCACAGGCAGTGTAATATGTCTGCCAATGTCTATGTACTGAATGGTAAAACAGGGCGTGATTTTTCCCCACAGCAAAACCTTTTCTAGATAGTAACAGCTTATTCCTCTGGAGGATTCAGCTGAGATAATGCTTTCAGGCGGTGATTGAAAACAATAGGATGTCTGAAGATTGGGAACCTAACACAAGGGGTAACAGAGCAGGTGTCATCCTATCACTGGTGCACACTAAAGTAGAATGTGCCACCTTGGTAGCACTGCCTGAAAATTCTAAACTGCATTTAAAGGGAAAAGTATGGTCCCATTTACACGCTTTTGGGACCAAATCGCATGAGGCTTAGGAATTCCTCCGTAAAGGTGCCCATACACCTTACGACCATCGCAAGACTTTTGTCTTGCGATGGTCGTAAGCTTATTAAAAGCTCGTACGATCTGCCCATCTTGGACAGGCAGATCGTACTTGCGATCATCGGCTTCCGATGACCGCAGTGAGGGGCGGGCTTCTGATCACTGCAAACGGGCAGTGTGCGCCTGCGCACACTGGCCCGTTCGGCAGTTGTCGAACAAGCAGGCCACTAACCGATTCTCGGCGGATTTTCAAGCCTGCTTGTTCGACGGAAGACGTGCAACCATACAGTAGAAACGGTCGCACGCCTTCCATACACTGTACGATTATCGTACGATCGCGGGATTTCCCGCGATTCGAGAATCGTACAGTGTATGGGCGCCTTAAGACTCGTGCAAGTAGCTGTGGGCATTACGGTCAATGCACCACCACCTGCAGTTGATCGCATAGACCAGGACTCAAAATTTCCACCCGCCCCCTCGCAATTGGCGAGTGAAAATTGTGGGGGGGGGTGAGTGGAATGTCAGCGATGGGGTGCGCCGCCGGTGGGAAGGGACACTACCATCGCGGCGATCGCTCGCTTCTGTTCTCCCTTCCTCGGCTGCTGCAGCTACAGAGCGGCCGAGAAGAGAGAACAGAAGCGAACGATCACCGCGGCGGTAGTGTCCCATCCGGAGCCAGCACTAGCTCTCTGCGATCCCTCTCTCTCTCCTCCCGGCCGCTGCAGCTTCAGCTCCACGAAGCGGGCACTCAGAGAGGCGGCTCTGATCACACCTGTTATCGCTCCCTCTCTCTCTCCTCCCAGCCGCTCTGAAGCTGCAGTGGTCAGGACGAGAGAGAGGAAGACATAACAGGTGTGATCAGAGCTGCCTCTCTGAGTGCCCGCTTCGTGGAGTTGAAGCTGCAGCGGTCGGGAGAAGAGAGAGAGGGATCGCTCATGGGTGTGATCAGAGCAGTATTAAAAAGGAGAACTATGGGGTCAGTGTTTTTCCCCATAGTTCTCCTTGGGGTAACGGGAGGACACAAACTAGCGTCCTCCCGTTACCCTAAGCTCAGTATACCGCGAGCTACAGCTCGCGGTATACTGAGACGCCGCAGCCGGAGCGGATCCCGACTTAGATGACGGGATCCGCCCAGCTGCGTGAGTGACAGCTGGCTCTGCCTATCTATAGGCAGAGCCAGCTGTACCCGCCCCCTCCCCCGTCCGTTCCGCCAGTCAGCGCTGGCAGATCGGAGCGGGGAGAGGGGAATCCAGCCCCTCCCCCTGTCACGGCAGAGAGCTGTGACAGGATCGAGAGGTGAGGGAACCCGGTATGTGTTCCCTCACCTCCCGATCTACTGAGCCGACCTGTGACAGTCTCATTGTCACAGGTCGGCTTAGAACTATGAGGTGAGTGGAAATCACTCATGTCATAGTTCTCCTTTAAAGAGCCCCCCCTCCGAGTCCACATCTTTTGGATGTTATTAATCTGAGTTGCCCCACTCAGTATGCCCCCCTCTTGCAGCCATATTGAGTGGGGCACTCATATTAATAACGTGCTGGATTAGTCTGACCCAGGGGTGGACTAGGCCCGGGGGCAGGGTGGCAATCGCCCCCCAAGCCTCTCTGATACCTTTGCAAACGCCCCCCACCACCACAAGCACTTCATCTCTCCCCTCTCGGCCGCTGCAGCATAGAGACCTGATAGGGTTTTACATTTTCCACACTCATGACCTTGCATGATGATGAGGATATTATGCTTGTCTAGAATAATTTGTCATATTTTCTTTATGCAGCTCACTCGTGCCTTGAGAGTATTGTACATGTTTTCACGAGTTTACATCACCTACCTAAATGCAGAAGGTGGTCTGCTGTCTGGTGTCCTTGATGATAGCGGTCCAAAAAGCTTCCTCTGGTCTTCTCTGGGTGTAAAAGGCCTTTGGGTTCTTAGTGTTCTCAATGAGTTCCTCGCTTCATTTATTATTTCAGCGCTTGTCTTTTGTACTGAAGAAGGAGGCTTATAAAAGGGGTCTGTTTTTCGATCATGTGATGAATGCATTGTCTTCTTGCCACAACTGGCATTACCTGAAAGTTAAGGAAATACTGTAATTCTTTGCTGAAAACATACAATTTATTAAACCATTTAATAGGGATGCACCGATAACGGTGCCAATGCCGAGTATTTGGGCGAGTACTCGTGCTCACCCAAATGCTCCGATGCCTAGTACTCGCCCAAATGCTCCGGCCAGTGATTCATTACCAGCGGTCTCAAACCTCCGGCCCTCCAGCTGTGGTGGAACTACAAATCCCATGAGGCATTGCAAGATTCTCAGAGCCACAGACATGACTCCCGAAGAGAGATGCATCATGGGATTTGTAGTTTTACCACAGCTGGAGGGCCTGAGGTTTGAGGCCCCTGCATTACACACTGCCGAGCTTCCTGATTGGCTGGGAAGCCGGTTTCATGGTCACTCGGTGATGAGGAGCCGGCTTCCCGGCCAATCAGGATGCCGGGTAGCGTGTAATGACTCGCCACCTAGCTTCATGATTGGCCAGGAAGCCGGCTTCATGCTCCCTCGTCACCTGCGCCGTGTAATGACGCGCTGCCTGGCTTCCTGATTGGCCGAGAAGCTGGCCAATCAGGAAGCCAGGCGGCAAGTCATTACCCGCCCCCGGCTTCCTGATTGGCCAGAAAGCCAACTTCATGCTCCCTCGTCACCTGGCTTCAGGTTAGTACCTCTGGGTTACCTTAAGAGGTCAAAGAGTGTTCATTCTTAGCTATTCTACAGAACAATTAGCCTCTATGCTGTAGTGCAGTGGTGGCAACTCCAGCCCTCCAGCTGTTGTGGAACTTCAAGTCCCATGAGGAACTGCATGACCAACATAGGCATGTTGGGATTTCTAGTTAAAGCACAGCTGGAGGGTCAGAGTTGCCCACCCCTGCTGTAGGGTTGGAGGGTTTGAGTAGTTTAACCCCTTCGTGACTGACGACGTACAGTGTACGTCGCCAGCATCGGGGCAACAACCGGGCAGCGAGCATTTTACGAACAATTACTTGCATTTTGTACGCAGGATCCTTCTGCCAGTAAGATCCCGGGTAGATTTCAGTATTTTCTTACGCCCGTCTACACAAGCCCCTATAGAGTGTGTATTGAATTGTTTCTATTTTAAATCCCCAAAGCATTTACAACAAGACCAAATACGATATGAAAATGTTCAATTTTTTTTAGCAGCAGAGGAGAGAAGCTGAAGCTGATTTGCACGATAAACAGGCTTTTTAATAGACCACCAGTGACAGAGATCACATGACAGCCCAGCAAACACAGCTCACCATAGACGATGAGTTGGGTTCTGCAGCAGTAATATGACCCGAGCTGTATTAGTTATAGAGGCACAACTCAGCGGCGTGACCGGTCACCATGGTAATGCCTGCACGCATCTCTCACCAGAACACATGTGTCTCGGCGGCCACCGCTCTGCTCGTTACTACACCGGCCTTCCCCGGGTGTATATCGGGAACTGACCCACTCACACGTCCACACCGACTCACCAGTTTCCGTTACATCCACCTTTCTCGGTGTTTGGAATTGGAACAATACCACAAACGCTGCCTCCTCAGAGCCCGGCCTCTGTGCGCCTGCGCACTGCTTGGGGCGGGTCAGGTGGCGTTCCCATGGTCACCAATGTAGCTGTCACATAGTAATAGGAATAGTGTTACCTCAAGGTGTGGCTGAGAGCTGAAACCTCACCTGAAGCTTACCAAACTTTCAGACACATTTTATTTGAACAAGCCATGCAAAAAAATTTGTCTGACATGTAGATAGAATTTATTATATTTCATTATATCTCATAACTGTGATAAATAGTATGCATGTGAGATAGGGACCTTAGATTGTAAGCTCCTTGAGGACAGGGACTGATGTAAAATGTGTAAAGCACTGTATAAATTGTCGGTGCTATATAAATACCTGTAATAAATAGTGTTGCACAGGTAGATAGCCTTTATAGTCATTCATCAAAATTCATACCTATTATAAATAGTGCATGACAGGCAGACCACATTCATCATTTAAGGCTCGTTCACGCCATAAGTGGTGACTGTTTTTTTTCACCTACTGAGCAACGCCAGTCACCACTAGGGCACATACAAAACTACTATTTTTGATGTGCCCTGTTGGAAAAGTGATGTGCAGTGCACTGCAAAACCTGCCTCAGCCTGTCATTAACATGTACAGGTGGGCTGCATGCAACACCTGTCGCTCCTGGTTGCAGAGATCAGGCCATTTGTTTCGGTACATGGACCTCCTACGGGAAGCTTTTGTCTCTGAGTTATGATGTGCTGTTTTCTCTCTCTCGTGGCATCTCATTGGGTCACTTGGGGAGGGAGGGGGGTGGCAGAGCAGCATGATCGCTCTGCTGCACAATGTTTGCAGTGTGCCTGCTGCCCTCTTTCCATCCAGAACTTCCCAGGTTGCTAAGATCCGGCTGGGAAGATGTGCAACGGTCATACACTCTTAGCAACCTGGGATGCTCTTGCCGGCGTCTTGCCGAGTTCGGCGGGATGCCAACAAGAGCACCCCCTGGCCGCGTCAGGTGGCAAAATGGCTAGGGACGCCCCTGTTTATGGTTAATCCCTTCTCCACCTGAGTACAGTTACAATCACAGTGTTTAAACTACAAAGTATACATTTGTAGCCATACAGACCTCCTTCTAACCTGTCGTGAGACAGCAAACTGGCCTCTGACAAGTGCAATGACATTACCACACATTGCACTACAAAGATGCTGTAGATATAATAGCTACAAGTCTCCTGATCAGTTATTCTTACAGGAGTTTCTGTTATCAGGCGCATATAGAAAAGTCCCATTAGTCCCCTATGTCATTGGTGTCAGCACCTCAATACCTTACTTAAAAGGTCAGTCCATCAAAAATCCACATATCAAATTAATTGGAGATTTCGATGAATTGGCTCTTTGGACAGAACACCGGCATGGCTGTTTACATTCAATTGTTAGAGCCGCCCGATTGCTTGTATGTTGTGACACTGCATGCACCCCCGCCACCTTTCCCTGGCTCCGCTGTGCCCTGTGATCTCCTCTCTGGTCTCTGAATGCGGGAGTGATGTGTATTACATCACTTTCGCCTTCAGTTGTCATTCCTCTGGCTTCTGTAGCCGGAGAGAAGCTGGTGAAGCAGATCTCTGCTTCATCAGATCTTTGGAGGTCCCAAGGTGACATAAGGAGTCTAATAGACTCCTGATGCCTCCATAAAGAGGACCTGTCACTGTAAATTTGATATCACATAGCGGGCTTCTGGACAACAAGGGGGTTTAACACCCGGGTCTTCAAGTGGTTAAATTGTCATTTGACAAAATTTGTACGAAAGTTAAAGTAATTCGTACATTGTTTAGAAATGGCCTTTAATTTATCCATATATACCTGCAAAGTAGACATGTGCGATTCGTTTCGTTCCGAATCGAAATTCGGACGCATTTTCGTAAAATTCGGACATCCGGATGTATCCGAATTACGAATTACAGACATAACGAATGCAAACGAATCCGAATTTCCATTTCCGAAATTCGGTAGCGTTCGCACGAACGTTCGTTTCGTTTTCTGTTCGTATTCGTTTCTTATTCGTTTTGTTCGTTGGAGCAAAGTGACATTAGAGAAGGAGAAAAATATTTTTTCCCCCTCAAATGTCACTTTTGCTGCAAACGAATAAGAAACGAATAAGAAACGAATAAGACCAGAAAACGAAACGAACGTTCGTGCGAACGCTACCGAATTTCGTCCGAATCCGAATTCCGAATCCGAATTGACTTTCACACCCGAATCCCAAAAAACGAAATAACACAAATCCGAATTTAAAACAAAACGAAACGAATTTTTTGGCAGTGCACATGTCTACTGCAAAGAGTGAAAAAAATATTCAAAACACCAAACGGTGTATTAATGTCAAGAATCTAATCATGTTTGACTTAGAAACAGTCTCAGCCCTTCATGGAATACAGTCATAGAAGTCTTCAACTTGTATAGTGGGATATTGCACTAATCATCAGGAAAAAAGGACCCAATTCTTTGAGAACTAAAGAAGGTAATTGTACTTCACACTCTGTGCTTCAGAATGTCTCAAAAAGATTCCCACAGGGTTATTCACAAAAGGGTGAGGGGTTTGGAGAAGGTGGAGAAGTGAACAATCTAGGACAACATAGCTGATTTGGGAAAAATTCTCCAATTCAGCTCACTTTCCAGCTCAGCTATTTTGTCCTAGATTCTTCACTTCTCCTGCCTTCTCCAAACTCTTCACCCTTTTGTGAATAACCCTGTCAGTGATGTTAAACCAGGTCAGTGAGGAGTCCATGTAGGCCATCTTACTCCTTATCAGTATGAATAAGAACAAATTCTTGAATTTATTGGGCAGTGTGTGTAGGCATTATTATCCTGGAATATGGTAGCATCACTATCACGTTTGCACTATAGCCTGCTCCTGGTCCTATAAAATGGCCTCATGTTCCTTAGCAGTCATACAGAGCAGTCATCTGTCCTAGTGACTATTGATGAAATGATCCTAATGACTTAATGTGACATTAAACCCTCAGATTTTTTAACATAAACCAATACTGTAATGTGTGCCTTACTGTAATCCATGGTTGTTTCCCTTCTCTTTGCTGCTCTTCCTTTTAAATCTGTATCTCTTCTCATGCTGGGGGAGAACTTCCCTTTGCAGCTGAGTGCCTCTTCCTGTAGTGCTGGCTCAGGTTGTGAACCTTCACACAGACACCATGTATCCATTCCAGAGACAAGGCAGTCTGCTGCTAAACAGAAGTTCTGCCCAGCATGAGAAGAGATACGGATTTAAAAGGAAGAGCAGCAAAGAGAAGGGAAACAACCATGGATTACAGTAAGGCACACATTACAGTATTGTTTTATGTTAAAAAATCTGAGGGTTTAATGTCACTTTATTGTAATGGCCAGCAGTCCCAAGATTGATGACCCTTACATTCTGGAGCTATTACAAATATAGTGATGGCCAAAATACTGTTGGGTTTAGGGTATC